AACCACAGGGAACTAACAAACTGTTTATCGCATTCCCATTCTTCTTTCCAGATTTCCTTGCGGTTGGATCACCGAAAGTGTCTCTGCCACCACACACCACCGTTTTGCGGTAAAACACCACAAGACTTTTACTACCTGTATTCGTGTTTTTGTTATTAGATGGCTCTTTTTACTGTTAAAAATGTTGTAAAATATCACCGCGGAATACAGTGATGGCTAGTGCAAGACGAAAACAAATGAAGTCATAAACAACCACAGCGGTAAACATCATGTATATTAGACTGCAGTTATAATTTATATCGACGATTTCTCTAGAAAATATCGATGCTCAAAGTGGTCTCGCAATTCTCGTATAAACGTATTGATGCAAAACAACTTGTCGATATGCTGGTACAATCTCAGTGAATAGTATCCATTTTAAAATCCAATATTTTGAGCATATGCTAAATATATAATAAAAACGATTTTGGTGTTAAAAGAATAAGATGAAAAACAAAAAAAAATCATAAAAAGCATGTTTGTTTGCAAATGACTGAGCATATCGCATTCGCACTTCTCTCTGTATATATATATATATATATATATATATATAACTACATGAATATTGAAACTCGACAGCACTGTTTCGTGAGGTACAAGTACCTCACTCATCAGGAGCTTTATGTTTAATTCACTGCACCAACGAGCATACATATACTTCGCAAATTAACATATTAATTAAAAATAAAAAAACATACAGGTTTAAGTGTTACATAATAAGGCTTTTGATCTGCGTCGGCATGATGATACGAGTTCATTTCTTTTGTTTAGTGCGGAGTGGTGAGGTCTAAAAAACCACAGGGAACTAACACCACTTGTACCTTAGGAAACAGTGCTGTCGAGTTTCAATATTCATGTAGTTGTTATCAATTGTGTAAAGGCGTGCGGAGTTCTTTTTATCACAGTTACTTCCATGAACACCATCGTCGACTTGTACTATTTGTACACTAGTTTTCTATTATCGTATTGCATATCTTGAGTTCAGTTCAATTAACTTTATTTTATTTCGACAGCCCCTTGAGTAGCTTGTACCAGGAGAACTGAATCCATACATACAACACTACAGCAAACCATACACAAAAACAATTTTATAGAGGTTTAACTGCAAAAAATAGTTAAAATAGATGGGATAGGAACAAACTGTCGAATTGTTTTTCCAATGCCTATTTTACTTGGAATCTTTTAACAACTTTATAAGTTGAATGTGATTATTCCATAGCAGTTACCCATCTATTGTCACCCCAAAATAAGTCACGTAGTCTTGATATTGACAAAATTGCCATAAATTCTGTTTTCACTGAAACGATATTTTTATCAAGTCAGTGCATAATCAACAGCCGTGTCATCGGCGTACACAAACAGTGTTCGGCATTTTTGCTGCAAGATTCGCACAAGCTAATCCACAAATGAATTTCATATTACAGTTGAATGAATTGTACCTACGTAAATCAAGTAATTACTAGAAGGAAACTTTCAGCTCTTTATCAATTGTATGTATAATACAATGTTACATATAACGACAGGCAGACGAACGGCAGGATGCAACTTAACAATCGTCGTACAATTTTGTTACATATACCATTATTAAATATTTATATGGATCATACATAGTTTATGATCGATTATAATTTAGAGTTGACTATACATTTTTAGAAAGAGCATAAGGTATCATCCGAGAATATATCACTGTGCTATATATTACGGTCTTGGACAACTTCCTTCCTTACACAATTCAAATTTAATGATTCAATAACTACACATAACACATGGATTCAGTCTCATTGTCCGCTAAGCCAAAGCCTTCAGTCCGACTTCCACTGACATAACTTGACTATTTATTTTACTACGAGCACAAGCATAAGTACACAACTTGATACAATTTGGAAGTCACTGACTCAAACGCATCCCAACAACGGAACATTTACCAATCTCATTCTGCTCATAACATTAAACCATTTGAAAAAGTGTTATATGACCGTGTTGTTATTGACTTTAATAAAATAATGCAAATTGAATGGTTATTATCATATTTATTCAAACAATTAAAAGAGTTTATCCCTAATTCTCGCATACAACGTATATAAAGATAGTAATAAAAAGTATTATTCAAACATTATAAATGCTAGCATGCAAAAGATTCTCAACGGTTCGAAACTCTAATAAACAAGTACAATGCTTGATAATCTACTCATATACTGATGAAATTATAATACTTTGATGGTGATAAAACCTGTTGCTATTGTATATGCTGACGAGGAATTGCAGATGTAACATATTCAAGCATTATTTATGAAAATATTGAATGCAAACAGAATAATACATTTTCATTTTTTATAATGGGTAATGTAGTATTTAATTTTTTTTTTGTAATATTTGTTATATCCCTGGTAATAGTAAAATCGTGAGATTCATGCTGTTGATTCCCAATTTTTTTCAGTCACGCGTGTTTTTTTATGTTTAAATCTTGTTTTCTTTGTAAATGCACCACTTGGGTGAGTTTTAAATGCTATTACAATGTAATCAACAATACATGCAATGCATGAATATGCAATGTATTACGACCAAGTATATAAGCTATGGAAATAATTCTAATAATAATAATATAACCTAAAAATTGATAACGAATTAACATCTTTCAATTCCAAAACATATCAATAAACCGTAAATTGCATTGGATACTGGTTTGTAAATACATTACCTAACCTATATCTACAATGGATATTTATTTTTGAAAGTTAGTATTTATTTCTATGCAGACTACAAAATTACACTGTAATAATTTATATGGTTAATTATATCAAAATATACGTCATTGATTGATTATTTATATTAGTTAAAAGAATTAAAATTGTTGATTATATTCAAGATAATTAAAAAAATCAAATTGAAACATACATAGATAAAGGTACGATGACAGAAGGAGCCGTATAGCATGTTTGCCACACTCACTAAATGTACTACGGAAATATAGTTTGCACAAACACTGCGCTAGCAACTTTCTGTTCGAACATTGTAAAATTCTTTAATTTTTTCGAAAAAACCCTGAAAACAACTGATTTTAACAAGAAAATTCACAAATTTATTTAGAATAATTCATTACGAAATGTATTCATTTGCACACAAATGATAATTTTTATAATTACCGATTATACATGAATATTACATGAAAAATAATTTGCAATATTTATTTGTCTTGAATTATGAATTCATAAATGCATAAAAAACAAAAGAATTTCAAAATGTTTTTATTTTCGTGTTTGCAGCACATGATTTTACATGTATATCTATGTAAACTGGATAATCGTATTATCTACGGCAACGTACTTAAAGGACTGCACTGGTAGATCCACTTTGTCATTTGTTATCAATACACTTCTATTTAGAATTTCAGAACAAAAACAACGTTTCTTTTTTTAAACTGATGTCGTCTGCGTTACACGACACACAACTGTCCTTTTTTAAGTAAAATAAAAAGGTGATTAATAAACGATTCTTGTCAAGGTTTTGGATATTGCAAAATGTGCCGTTGTGGGTCTGTACTGACCTTAATCGTCGCATATAAACCATAAAATGAATAAATCAAGACTAATTACTAGTAGCATTATAAGAATAACATAATTATATATTTTGAAAATGCTTTTAAATTAATAATATTTATTTATCTGTATTTTCTGAAGGGGACAACTTGTCAGAACAATCTGCTTATTTCTACAATTGCTACAAGTATTGAGGATTTAGTTACAATTTAGTTAAGCCGAATGGTTATTGTGACTTTCTCACTCACGAATTAATCATCACAACGAATCTTGTCCTGTAATATTGGTGCCATAAATAACCGAATTTGTCTATGTTATCACAGTTATATACACCTCTAATTCAATTTACGCTTTGATCTTTTTTATATGCACCTTTTGTCAAAATAAATATGCTCGACTAAACCACAACGTATAAACAATGACAGATTTACTACGGTACTATATGGATTGAGTGTTATTTCTATATCTTATCTGAGCCGGTCGGTGCTCCATGTTGTGTCTTCCCAACTCCCGATGTGTTTCCGTCTTCGGAAATTCTCTGGCTTGTAATGAACTTTGTGCTAACAGTACCTTGGTGGTTGGTGGTATTTCTACTGCTATTAGACAAGCCGCTGTTCTCCACGTTGTTGCCATATTGACGGCAAATTAGCTTTTTGATTGCTTCTTGAAATTGACGATATTTAAGGGCATATATCATTGGATTGACGCACATGTTTAAGAATGCTATCACAACTGTTGTATCACGGACCACTTCAGTATGGTGCACACCTAACATATTATATTCAATGTACATTATTTGATTGGGAGCCCAGCACAGTGCGTAGGTCAGAGACACTATACACAGCATTTTAATGACGTTGTTGCGAGCTTTGACAAACGAAGGGTTTTCCTCCTGTGTGCTGCTACCATTGCCACTAGTGGTTGCCGCTGATCTGATTTTAGTCGTACGACGCTTTAACACGAGGAACATTCTCATGTACCCGAAAGACATGATTGCAAGAGGGAAGAAATATTCTACGATGAATGCCATCATACCGAGTGCTTTCTGCATTGCACCTTCTGGATATTCAACTCCACACGAGCCGTCGTTTCTGTTGTAGTTTGCCTTTGCCCAATAAGACTGGTAAACAAGACCCATGATCCAAACTATAACACAGATACGTCGGGCTTTGGTTGCCGTGAACCGATTGTGGTGTACAACGGGATAAACAATGGCTACGTACCTCTCTAGCGTTAAAGCCACAAGATTGAATGTGGACACGTTGAAAGACGCCCACATAAAGTAGCGAGAGAGCCAGATTTTGCAAAGAATATCTCCTGCAACACCCATTGGCACGACGACAGTTTTCTTTGTCGGCCCAAGATTCAATACCAAGAGAAGAATGGAACTTGTCAAGTCAATTAATGACTGATTAAATATAAAAATGTTTGTCAGTGTTCGCAGAAAACGGTCTTTGAGAATGACGAAACACACGATCAAATTTCCCACAATACCTAGGGTTCCAATAACTGATATTATTACTTTCATAGTGACTTCGGTTTTAGACGTTGAACTTGTAGACGCAATAATGGTAGAAGCTTCAGTTGTAATATTCGTGATGTTGGTTGCGTTGAAGTCTGCCATTTCAAATATTTATTGTTTTGTTGTCTAAGAATTCTTCTCTTTCAAATCAAATATATACCAAGGACCGTGAATGTCTAATAGTACAATAATATAGAAAATAATTATTAATTGTTTATTTGAGTAACCGATTGATTCCGGTTTTGCGCTTTAGGGTTTTTTGAAGTGTATTTCTTAGGACTTTTCGGGACGCGGGCCACAGCATGAAACACACTACAGGAATGAAGGGGATGTGTTCATCGCTCAAAACAAACTATATCACAGAGCCAGCCATTTTTCGTAGCTAATATGAGTGACAAAAATAGATCTGCAAAGATTGACAGGGAAGACGTTAAACTGCCGACGCATAATGGATGGATGAATCAAGCAAATAACATTTGACTATATTCTTGTGGGGAAGACTCATTGAGTATATTACAAGACTAGCACGGTCACATGTCAATTAAGGTGTTAACATTATAACTAGTAACCATCAAACCGTATATCCGACTGACGTCCATGACGCTAGCCATGAACAATCTTCTCGTTGCCTCTCCTCAGTTTGGTTGAATTGAACATATAATCGTTTCTAATCAGTTATTATATTAATACAGTGTCTAATTACGTCAATAGAGCATCCAGCGTCAGTTCCGTTTGTTGCCATGGTAATATAGCAAAATACAAATCGGATTGCTCTTGGGACTAATTTTAACTTGTAGTTTGTGTATTTCATGTAACTTTCATATGAGATATGTGATCTTAGATAGTACTACTTAGTGTGATAAGCTGACAAATTCTAGGCTATATAACATCACTACCACGTGAATATAATAGAGGAAAAATATCATTATAAATTTACGAGAAATATTATTAAAAACTAACATACATCTAGAAATAGCTGAGTTTTTTCTAATAATGATTGTGTACAAGGAACATAATATGTCCGATAAAAGCGGAATTTAAAATGGACGGTATACCACACAAATAAATCGCGTGTATATTTGATATATACAGGTAAGATTACTGATAGTTAAATACTGATAGGCTATTAACTGAAAAACGATAACAGAGAAAACGTATATGAAGTTTTCCTATATGTTATTCTATAAATAAATAGTTGAAGCAATCTCGCATGTTTAATCGAAAGGTTGATTCCCCAATATTACTACTCGAGGGAGACAATTAATGTTATAATTACCCGCATTGACAGCCCAGTGGGACAAAGATTCAATGTTAAAACAAATTGTAAACTGTACATTTGCTATAATGTGACCACATAATGTTTCCCAAATAATTTGGAGTTGGTTAATAACGTAGATTAAATTTCTCGCCAACCATCGTACTGTATTTATCTATATAGCATAACTCGTGTGGCAGTTGGAAAACAAAGGTTTTATCATTTGAGATGAAAAACAGACCTTGTAAATAACGTGTAGATAATCATTTACAGTGAAGCGTGTGCAGAAACAGATTAACAAATAATATGAGCATTTATATCAATTTCGATTATAGTAGAGACTGAGACATTGATTGCATGAAAACTAGAATAGTGAATTCATTTCCTTCGATTTAATTCATAGTGCGATTACCTCTTTTCATTGCACATGTAAATGACATATGTTTGATACATTTGTCTTAACAAAAACGCAAACGTATTTTACAAATCCATAGTATTCTGGACGTTTTAATATATATAATGAACTTATATTTTTTAAACTATCTTAATATATTACACATTATTTCGTATCTATCTACTTGATAACAGGACAACGGGCACCGTTTATACTTGTTCCCTTTTTGATGTCAGCATGTTAAAATGAATTGTCCATGTAATTGTGACAACCAACGCAATTGTTAAACCCGTTACAAATAGACTGAAGATGTAGATATCATCAAATTATATATCACAATATTGTATAACATATAATATGTGTGGATTATTCTACAATATATGTAAGATTTTTTATAAAGAGTTGACAATTAGGAATCATAATCACAACATATCTTATGGAACCCAAAATACATCGCTCCGTAAATTCATTCATATTATTATTATAATGTGTGTGAATAAATACAATATATTCAGTGTATCATTCACACTATAATAAATAGTAAAACCCTCTGATAAAACATATGACATATAACATAGATTTGATAACATTGAATGTCCTTGTACGTACCTGGCAGTTACATAGACTTACCAGTGGATGGTGACTCGATTCGCATCAGTCTGCAACTGTAATTCGTATACTGAATACTCACATTATTCAAACTAGAATATCAGAAGTATTAGCATATTTACGTCATTGTAATATCTAATGAAGTGAAGTATCCAATCACCGAACCTCACCTGTAACACTATACTAAACGATGTTTGTCGGAATTAACTTGGTCATTTGCATATCAGTTTCTATTCCCATGGCAACAGAAAAAGAAGACGTGAAGACATACACATCTTTAGTTCGCATTTTGTTCCGGTGTCGTTTAACTTTAAACGCTAATTTCCTTAACCCCAAAAAGACTTAAGCTGTCTACATTCAACAATTCACAATTGGATAATCCAAAGCGCATATGTTTGTTTCAATATATCTCAATATAGTACAGATGTATTTAGCCGTTATGTCCACCGACTCTTCACATTTTCTTTCAGTCATTAATTACGAAACATCTACACTGAATACAGCAGTTAATATAAGGGTGTCTCGCAAACTACGCAGTTAAAAACGAATAGGTATTTTTACAATTAGCATAATTTTATCACTAATGCTCTCAAGATGTCATACTACATCTCTAAAATATTATAATCTCGTTACCAAGAAACAAGTACAAGTAATGAAATGATGAGTACAAATGAGAGTTTACTTAGCTAATGTATCTTCTATTTTTGGTTGTTTTTAAAAAGAAAAGGTTAGCAATGAGAATGTGCAAAACGTTTGTTGAACGAAGGCTTAATAGTTACATGACACTGGGACGTATACCAAAGAGGAAATACACTTTACCATTGAGTGAACCTTTACTTACAGACTGCCTTAATTGATATTACATATATACATTACAGGCACATTTCAAGCATATAAAACAACCTGCAACGTGAGTGTCTAATTAACAAACGTATTCACCGCGCAGGTTGCTATGCATATGTTGAAGTTATTAGGAATATACCCTTTTTTTCGACAAAATACAATCCTTTTAATTTCAAGTACCATACTTGCAATATTTCTATAAATTAGATATGTGCATAATGAGGTCACATGACCAACTAAGATTACCCAATCAATAATAGATATCTGAAACATCTGTTTCTGTATTCAACTCAGATGAAAAAGCGCAACCCATCTTCTAGTTATATATTTGAAGCTTTGTCGTCGGTGACATCATTTATTATGGCGTTCAGACAGTCATCTGAATGCAATAAGATTTCTCGGTAATCCTTCCATCCACAAATCCGTTATTAGTTTCAATCTGTCGAGAAATGATAATGGTCATTGCCGTTACAGATGAGACGCACATATTTGCCATTTGTAGGTTTTTAGCGTACTGATTGTCTGCATGATTCAATCAGCAATTCCATCCATTAAAGTGCCACACATGCAATTTAATCATTACACATCTGTGTTTTAACTTCTAGGAATCTTCTATTATCAAGGAAAGGCTTTTGTGTGTGTGGGTGATGTGTGTGTGTGTGTGTGCGTGGGGGAGGTGCGTGTGTGTGTGGGTGTGGGTGTGTGTGTGAGTATCGTCGGTATTTTGTCTCTAATGGGAGCGAGAAAACCACGCGATTTGATTATGTTTCTCAAAATATGTTCCTTCCTCTTCCATCTTCGGTTGCACTGTTTAAAATATCATGGTTAAATATACCAGGGAACAGTGGATGTGGTCGCTGGAAACGAATAGAACACTATTTGAGGGCATATAGGCGTTCATTACGTACAAGTTCGATCGATGAAAGTTCATCTATCTTATATTGTATTATGTGAAAACAACTGTAACGTGTGGGAAAATTCACACAATGGTAAAAGTGTAATAAATATTAATAAAAGAGTGTGTAATAGTAAACACAATGAATTTTATCATAAATTGTCACAAAACTGCAATTATAAAATTCTACGTCAATAAATACACCAACAAATGAAAATAATTGGGACCTAAAATTGGAGGCCATACCGAAAAGACTTCAATCTGTAGAAGAATTGATATTTAGAAAAATAATAGACACTTTACCAATTTTTATTGGACCTTTTATAAACTATAAATGAGCGCAGTATTTGTATTTGATAGATTTTACACATCTATGTTTTGTGTGGCCTTGGTCAATATGATAGTGTTCGTCAACCATTTGGTAACATAATACATTCATTACATTCAATGTACAATAGTGTACATGTGTAGATGAACTAAAATGCGTTATAATTATCATAATGCAATACTGGGTTCTGATGTTGTATGAAAATATGCTTACATTTGTATTTGGTAGTCAAAGACATCTTTGAGAAATATTAGAGGGCAACATGAACACCATCAGCCATTTTAAATCTATTTATTTCATTTCAGTCCTAAAATGCAAAAATCAAAACAATTGGTCAAATAAAATACAAAAGAGCGTAGGTTAACTAAATGAGATATTAACTACAAATTGCTAATTAATTTACATCTAAATTCTAAAAATGTGCTAAAAACGTCAATGACAGTATTATCGGAATTCATTTTAATTTGATTTAATTTAATTTAATGTTATAAAGTTATATGCTCTATGTAAAAATGTCTGCCTCCTTATATTAACGCGAAAAGTCACCAGACGAAAAGATCTGATGTAAAAGATTTGTTGTAAACCCCAAAACACCTTTATACCAAATGTTAACAAAATATATATTCGTTTATATCAGGGAAAGAAAAACACTAAATAAATGGCATTCAGACGGTTATTTTGGATAAAATGACGACTAAATGAAATTACTAAAAAAAAAACAAATCGATGTGTCTATTTGGATCAAATTTATTTTGTATTTCCATAGTATTATTTATCT